ATTCACCGAGCACAAATAATGACATTTGGTATTGCCATGGTATAATACCACAGTTTAATTGTCACAAATTCAAATTCAGTCACAGTCAAGAAATTGCAAAAATGGCTGCAATTCTACATCTGAGAAGAATGTCGCCAAATTTCATAATTCACTTGGACTCACAGCCACACAAACCTTTGAAGAAAGCATTAAGGAGTATACAGCAAATATTATAAGTTGGCAATCGAGATTTAAAAATGATGACTGGACCCTGAATGACAACCCAAAATCTGGGAGGCCAAACACCTCACTTTGTCAGGGTGAAATAAATTGCTACGAGCGTACCAGGACGGGGTTGAAGGCATCAAAAGTGCATTACATGGAAATGCCAATACTTTGAGAAAATGTGAAATGAGACACTGTACAATATACATCCATTAAATCTCTAGGATGTGCTCCTGGTACTTTAGTATTTTAAAATGTATTTTGTGCATGCTTCTTATAGCTACACAAAATGGTATTTGTTAATTAATTATTTTATATTTTCAATTTTTCATCCCCTTTGACGTGACAAAACGACCTGCCCTACCCTACCCAAACCCCCCTACTTGATTTTACTATAAAAACAACATACTCATCAATCGAAATGAAACTTTCTAGAATGATCAAAATATCTCTAGACATATTTCCTGTAAATTTTATGAAAAATATCAAGTATTGATATAGTTAGAGCATATTATAGTGCATTACTTCTGGGACAACCCTCGAACATACTTATTGTGTATTATAATGTTTGTCATTTGCTCATCTTAGGCTGTTATTGGGGACCTTGGTCTACTAGTATTTGCACTGCTTGTAAAGGAGAAGTTGACTATCGAGTACCAATTATCCGCCCAAGAATTATTGGCCCAAATATCCCAGTTGCCCCAAGACCTATTGGCCCAGATATCCCAGATATCCCACGAATTATTGACCCAGCTATCCATATTATCCCACTTGGCAAATGTGATGGCACCAGAACGTGTACACAAACGCGTAAGTGTATATGCCCACGGGATATCCCCCGTATCATTATTCCAGACTTAAAGGTAGAGCGATTTCAAATACAAGGGAAACGTGACGTAGCTATTGCGACGGCAAAATTTGAAAAGGCGACGGTGTTGGATCACACAAACTTAATATCCACCAATGGTTGTGTTGGCTGGTCCATTCAGACTCGAACAGAGCGATGCGTCTATAGTTCTAGAAAGTGTAATATATGGTATATCTAAAACATGTGTATCGGGCAAGATGCAATTCGCAGATTAAACCTTTCTCAATGATGCTCTACTGTAAGATTAAAATATTTGATGAATAAAATTGAAGAATTCAATAAACAAAAACTAAAACCTTATTTTGAAACAAAGCATTCTGTCTCTTTTAACATTGTGTATCTCAAATTTTAAGAGATAAGCAGAATAAATCCTTTGTAGCAATTAAGTTATTCTAGTGGTGAAAAGTACATTAATGCTGGCTTTCCACAAGGATCTATTTTGTGACCTTTACCCTTTCTGATATACGGGGAATTGATGAAAATGCGCTTTTACAGCGATACCAAAGTATGTGCCATTGGTTGAAGAATTTATTTTCCAATTATTTAAAGAAGGCTTTTTATCGAGATTATTTGGTCAAACGATCTTTATGCCGACTTTTGTGACATGGAGGTCATTTTTCCAGGATCTTGCAGCCAACACACATTGAGACGTTCATTCTGACAAGTTCACGTACTTGTCTATGCCGCACCAGCTCGTTCAATAAACCCATGCAAAAATAATAGTTTTCAATTTTCAATATATTTTTAAGAAACGTTGACAGAATATGAAAAAGATATATACAATTAGACACAAAAGATGAATCACTGTGTCGTGTGATTGTCTCACGAAAAAACGTAAAAATTGAAAAATGCCACCCTTTTAAAGATGATTTGAATAAAATACAAATAAATACGCTATAATATGTAAATAATTGTCATACATATTTCATCATATTTTGTTAAAAAATAATACAAAATGCTATGATCACCTGTTTAATGAGCATTTTATGAGTGATTAAACTCTATGATGACCAGCTTGCAAAATTACTCTCCATTACCGGACCACAGATAACCAGCCATTTTGAAGTTGTGACACTATTTTTGAATTTACCAAATATCACTGTTGTACCTTTGGATGTTGTCAATATGAATCCATTTGTATTGAATTACACCCAATATTGTATCGGAAAATGAATTTCCTCTCAAATGGTTTATAATATTATAGTAAATTATAAATAATATATACGGTCTAATGAACTCACAGTTCCAACGTCCACGGGTATAATTCAAAACCACACGATGAATTTAAAATCACGAGCCATTCCTGCTGAAATGGAAATAGAAATGGACCAAGGGGCGTGAAAGACATATAACTGTTCTTTTATATTCCAGGTTTACCTTCAACGCAGATATATTCACCAAACAGATATATTTAGCAAACTGTGACATGTGACCAGTGCATGACCACTGCACGACGTGCATGTCCCGAGCACTTCGATAAGAATTATGGTCAGTTTATTTTTGTTACATTCCTGGTCCCAAGGTCGGTATTATATATCGGGCTTATCCTTTTGGACTTTATGTTATCTTTTCTCTATCCATCGAGAATATATCAAATTATCCCTCTGCATAAACCAAATATACAATCCCTCCCAAGATATAACCTCTCTATAAATATAACAACGTTCAATATCAATATTTGTATATTGTACACAAAATGTTCAAATACAGTGTGTAATTCTCAACTTGAATTCCAAAAATGCTGGCCTAAAATGATATCCAGGGGTGTCTTATTACAATTCACTTTAACATAGCACACTAAAAACTACATTCATAGAAAAATACATAACTGTAGACATTAAAAGCACAAAATGTACAGCAGTATGATTTTTAATTCATGCTGTTTATCGAATGAAAGCTAATATCTCCACAAATTATAATGATATAATACTAGATAACGGCAACTCCGCGGAGTAGCAAATCCCAACGAACAAAATATCAATTACCGAATTCCAATCAATTTTACTCATTACTTTGGTTAAAATTGAAAAGTTTAGATTTTAGAATTGCGAATTTCTGCAAAGCAGCCATTTTGAATTTTCTGAGGTACCGTACAAATCTGAAAAATAATACCATAATTGTGATCTACTTCAAAATTCCTTCAATTTGAGTATTACATACTTTGAAGGGATCGAAAAATTATTGCGAAATCGTACATTAGACGGCCATTTTGAATTTTACGAGGCTCGAATCAGAAAAAGATACAATATTTGCAATCTACTCTTAATTGCCTTTCATTTGAGTATAATAAAGCTATACTTCAGAAAGATCTAAAAATTAGCGAAAATGTCTGTTTCCCTGACAAACACGGAATATATGTGAAATAGGTAGATGTTGCAAATATACTACCACAATTTCAAACAATAATATTAATTACCTTGGTTTAGAATGATTTTTGCGAAAAAGTCCCGTCATTTTTAAAGCGGCGGCCATCTTGAAAAAAAATCAATATACATCTTTCAAACTAATATTTGAGTTATCTTCCGGACGGACGGACGGACAGACGGACGGACGGAGTGCTTCACTATATCCCTACCGAACTTCGTTCGTTGGGATAATTATATATACATGTAGGGAGGAATAACTGCAATTGAATAACATACACCAGTACGCTGTTATAAAACTACGGTTACGCCAAATCTGAAAACGAGGTTGGACGGTTTATCCAATAAAATGGCCACGATGGAACAGAAGGGTAAGGTTGGGGCATTCTTTTCTACTTCTGTGTACTTCAATGAAAGGATGAACGATTTGTGTATGCGTCGCATTCGGTGATGCATTCAGTAATGTATATTTTGAACGTAGTCTTTTCAAATTGATGCCCGGGGATAATATGAATTCGAAATAGGCAAAAACTGTCGAGTTTGAAATTCAAAACTACACAAGTAATTTGTTTAATTTTGAAGTTAGGGCATGGTCTACATTGCCTAAGAACCTTGGGGTATATAGATGTATCCTACATACGATCACACAAAACCAATTGAGCATTGGAAACCACCTAATATGTTCTACCCAAGCCATAATAATGTCCATGAAATGTATAGTACGTAGTCGTCTAACGACATTGCCTCTGAATCCTAATTATTTACAAAATACACCACGTTCCTGTTCTCGATTTGTCATGTCATATGGCCTGTTTATACACAGTTCACTTACAGTTAATATTTTGAGTGGCTCTGAGAAAACAAGAGAATGGACTAACAATTCGTCACCGAATGGAACTAGTTTTAAAGGAAATCTAATCTGTGAACCTTACCTACAGGCGAGAAAAATGACATGCTTTTACGTAACCGTGCACCAGTGGTACCTGTATTGTTTCATGTTGTTTTATGTTACACACCAATACACATTCTAGAGAAACAATATTACACAGAAATAAACGAATTACTTAGTACGTTTGGAGTTTTTTAACCAAATCAACATTTGACGAAGACCAGATAAAAACCTACAAAATCGAGGGTATTTATGCATTGTTGTATTGGCAATCACAAATATATACTTAATCAATCCAAGATTCATATATTATAGTACTTGTAACGCTAACAATATTGGTAATCAAGCGCAGTTTTACATTTAGAATCGATTCTTTCGACCAATCAAATCGTGACTTTCTGCATTACATTTTCACCCTCGGTATACGGCACAATCCGAAGGTGAGTACGACATATTCCGCAGGTGAGTATTGGATATTAACTGGAATCAATTCAATATATCGCAGATTCACTGCGGAATATAACAATACCGCACAACCATGAATATATTCCATATTCCGCGTAACAGAATTGACTGACTGGTGACAATCATATTGTGGATCATATGGCCCCCTTTCAAAAATATTGACTAGACTAATACCTCGTGCCACTTTACATACAGCATGTTGTTACTTAAGCCACGGATACACTCAATTCAAATACACTATGTCTCAGCATAGCTTGATTTAATCATGTTAATTTATATATGATTTTTTTATTGTATCAACTGTTGTTAATTAAGGCCAACAAAATGAATTGCTTTGATAAAATCTGTATATATCATGCGGTTGCAATTCTGTTCCTCGATTTAATGTACTGCCGAAGTCAATGCCTTATGTTTCTAAATCCCTGCCTGCAATCCAGGATGATCTTTGGTAGATCTGTGAGTAATAAAACTCCAAGGAATATAGCAGGAAATACAGCTACAGGCATACTAACAACCTAAAACACCACATATAGATACAATTTATAATATTCCGTACTTAAAGAAAATATATACCACAATGCTTAGCTATTACATATATCATATATTCAATGATACGGACATAATTGTTGTATTACATGCCTTTATTTCATGACGCCACATATCTGTGTGCGAGTAAAATAAGGAAGAAATGAAACACGACGTCATATGGTTTCAATACAAAACTCTGTCGTTATCAATAGACTAGATGCGAGTAGAAAAAATCTTGATTTACGCCATTAAATATTCAAAATTCAGTCAAAGCGATGTTATATTTGAAATCTACATATAAAAGTACATCTAGAAATATGGTTTCGAAAATTGTTTATCAAGTTTGAAAATTTGATTATTTTTGAAAGTGTGACTTCTAGTTCGGGTTGATTATCCATAGAGCCCATGTTACAAAATCACAAAAAGTGAAATATCTTTTCTTGTATTGGTCAGATAAAATTTTCATTTACTGGACATATTTTGATTTGCATAACTATTAAATACATAAGGATTATTTGAAAATTGAACCAATGAACAGATGTAATTTAAGTTAAAGGGAACTGTCTACTATACCCGCCATGCTATCTAACCCGAACGAGCCACCTGGTGGTGAAACTGGTAACTACCTACTCGCATCTGCGTTATTTTCCTCGATCAATGTTCTTTGTGATGTGATTATAATGATTTTATGAATCTGCCCACCTCTTGTCAGATCATGAGTTATCTTTATGTGTATACATTTATAGTGAAGAACCTTCCATTGTTTTTTTTCATTTGAATGACTGACTGAATAAGCTTATTATTATACCTGAGCATGTTTCGCTTCCTCTGGAGGAATTTCTATCTTTTTAACCCGCTTGTATACAACCTTAGGAGGCTCAGTGGCAACACTATACAGCGTTGTTAACAGTTCCGTTGTAGACACTTGTGTTGTGCCGGCAGTAGTAGTGAATTGTTTTGTTGTACTGTCTAACAATGTTGATTGTAATGCAGTTGTCGATGGCCTTGGTGAAGTCGTGGTTGTAGATGGTGAGGTTGCCAATGGTGTGGTTGTAATCAAATTACAATTGGGAACTTGGGACCATTCTTCAGTTTCCATACATGTAACTTGTGGGTGACCAATTAGTTTATATCCCGGATCGCACCGGTAGTTGATTTTCAAAACAATAGTTTGTGATAGCTTCACTGTATGACCTGAATTCAAGACTAAAGGGATATCCCCACAATCTAGAGGACTACAAACACAAGGATAGGACCACATACCATTTGCTTGGCATCGAATATCTGTATCGCCATAGGCCCTGTGACCCCATGCACATGTGTAGTATGCGCTTCTCCCATAGGTTGTCTTGGTACCTCTTAGATGACTCATTGCATTTTGAACTCTAGGCAAAGGCCCGCAATCCACCAAGGAACATTCTGGGTAAGGACCCCAAGAACCATCTTCCTTGCATTCAGCTGTAGGACAACCATGTAAAATATTTCCTTTCTCACAAGTATACTTCACTATGCTTCCATATGTAATATCTGTGACCTCTCGTGTTGCTCTGGCAACCTTTCGTGGCATTCCACAATTCACAATCTCACATTTAGGGGTATCAGTAGTCCACGAGAAACCAGCTTCACATTCGATTGACTCATTCCCGACGATTAAGTAACCAGTTACACATGTAAAGGTGGCTATAATCTTATCATTCGTGTTATCAATATTAACAGCTACATCAGCGTTGTGGACTACTGGCATTTCACCACATTCATAAAGACTGCAAACTGGGGCTGGTGACCAGGTTCCGTCAGCCATACAGGTGATCGTGGGATCTCCGTACATAGTGAAGCCATCATTACAGGTGTATTCCCCCATGGAAAGATATGTCGTACTAAAAGCTGTGTCTTCCTGGTTATGGATTACACTATCAGATGTTATTAAATGTACATTTGACCGATTCTGTATATTTGTTTCATTGCTTATCATGGAATTATTTATTTTATCAAAAGCTGTTGTTGAAGTATTTCCATCATCATTATTCAGAATATTAACAGTAGACGTGATATTCCATAATTCAGTGACAGTCATGTTAGGTACGTGTGTGGTATTTTCTGTAACAATTTTGATATCCATCGTGTCAGTTGAAGTTGTATTACGCACATATACAGTCGCTCCATTTAATGGGTCAAGATGTGTATTGTTGACTGTGGACATATTGAAGAGCGTTTCATGTGTTAATCTTCCTATACCATTACTTATATTAGGCATTCCTCCGCAATTATGGATGGTACATTCTGGAGGGGATGACCAGGACCCATTGTTCATACAGGTTATGGAGCTATTGCCAGTCATAAAATACCCAATATCACATGTATAATTCACCACACTTCCATAAAGGGTGTCATTTGATGGGTTGACAAATTCACCATAGTTGACAAATGGGACGTCGAAACAATCTATTGCTACACATTCACTTATATTTGACCATTGCCCATCAGCGCTGCATTGCAATGTCGAGTCTCCACTAAGATGATATGCCTCGTCACACAATATACTAACATTTGAGCCATATGTAGTTGAGTTATCAAAGTATGTCATGATACCATTACTTATATTAAGCAAGCCACAGTCCTTAGGGTTACACACTGGGGTAGTGCTCCAATTTCCAGTCGGTAGGCAGCGAATGGTATCAACTCTATCAAGGAACTCATCACAGCTTCTGTTTGTTGGACATTCAAATGAACTATTATCAGATAGCTCCTTATCACAAATTATGTTTTTAGAACATGTAAAATCATCATCATTACAGCCATTTTCAGAACAGGCATTTCTCGAAGTGTTTGGTTCGATTATTCCCATTTCATACCCTTTTAAGCATGTGTGTGTTACCACACTATCGTAGGTGGTTGTGGTGTTTGGGTCCCATGTTGAGAAAAGGACATTTGGAGGTTCCCCACAGTCTGCAATAACACAAACAGGTATGTCACTCCAATTTCCACTAACACTACAGGAAGCTGTACTGTTTCCTACCATGTCGTATCCTATATCACATTCATAGTCTACTTTGGCATAAACTGTTGTTCTGTTGTCAGTTAACCCTGCTGTACTGTTAGAGACATATGGAGGGTCATGACAGTCTATAAACAAACAGAAGGGTGGGGTTGTCCAAGTAGAATCTTCAAGACATCTCGAAGTAAAATTACCTATCAGGATATTACCCACATCACAATCATATACCGTAGTGCTGTTGTAAATGTATGTATGTATCTTTTATTCCCGATTTTAAATCGGATTTCATATAAACTAATTACAATGTTTGATTAATACAATAAACATAAAACATAAACATAAACAAGGTGACAACATATTTACAATCTTTAAAAGTAGTATAAAAATTTCAGATTACAAGATCTTCTGCAAGTTTATGCAAATAAGGGTACGAGACTAATCCCTGAGTCTGATATGACTATATGAATGTATCTCAGGATGAGCTCTAAATTATGTATCTCAAATGACTCCGAGGCAGGGCCGCATACAGAAGCACAGATTTCTCTTGGATCGAACGCTGGGTGGTTGTTGGGTAACGCAATGTCAATAATGAGTTTATTCCTCATGTGATTGTACTCATTACAGTCTATTAACATGTGATTTATAGCATCCTTATAGAAATTGCCACATCTATCGCAAAGAAGGTTGGAGTCATTCACGGGCATGGCTAAAACTTTGACTGCTGTGAGAATATACGGAAGTAGATAATTCCGTTTTCTGGCTAAGTTCCAAAGATTATGAGCTCTCAAAACAGAAACGGAAATTCTGATGTCATTGCGTTGAGATTCACTTTGAACTAGGAAGCGTTGTCTGACTACATATTTACAAATGCGTTTCCACAAGATGCTATTTGGAAAATACCCGTTGTCTAGATATTGAATCAGGTATTGTTCTAATTCGTAGGTTTTCAGAATGTTTGAAATGTCGGCGACAAATCCTGCCTGCCGGTGATTTCCGCCGTAAAGTAAATTTGCTCTAAACAGAAAGATGTCCTTTGTCAACGTCAGCTGTTGCATGTTGCAAAGCAGACCGAGAAACGACAGCTTTCGTAGGTCAAGTGTGAACTGGACTGGTAACAGATCAGTTAAAGCATATACAATATCAGTTCTGGTAGATTTGAACAATTCAAATAGACTTTTGAGGATGAAACGTTGAGCAATTTCTAACTTAAGAATTTCCGATTTTGTGATATTAAACCACAGCTCGCATCCGTAAAGTGCAGTGGGAATACAAATGGTCTTAATTAGATGTATGCCAGTTAAAGGGGTGAGACCCTTCGGATGTACACCAATTCCTGCCAGCGATGCAAAACTGCCTTTTAACTTATGACACGCGCTGGAGACTGCATCAGTGTTTTTCATCGAAGCTTGGTATATGTTTCCGAGATGTTTACATCGATCAACCTCAACTAACAAATCGTTTTGAATAGACCACTCGCGTGTTTTCCGTAGTTTCTCATTTACAGGTTTCGACTCGCCAAATGTTATCACGCTTGATTTTGAAACATTTATCTTGAACCTCCACTTTTGGGAGTAATTAATGGCAATTGAAATCAAGTTATTAAGACTGTCCCTGTTATTGGCAAGAAGGGAGACATCGTCTGCGTACGTGGGGGCGCTGCAAGAAATGCAGCTTATCATTGATCCGAAGTTTGATCTTTCAAGTAGACAAAGTAATTCGTCGATGTATAGGGTGTAGAGCCAGCCCGAAAGCACCCCGCCTTGGCGGACTGATTGACTGATAGAGAACCAATCAGACTGATGCCCCTTAAAGATTATCGCGCCGCTTAAATTGCTGTACAGCCGGTACATTATTATCCAGAATCGGCCTTGGAGCCCAAGCTTGTGAAGCTTAAGAAACAACCCTGCGTGCCATATGGAATCGAATGCTTTAGCGCTGTCAAGACTTGCCATAAATGTTTTCTGACCAAGCTCACTGTTGGAATTGATTGTCTCAGTAATATTAAAGTTGCAAGTCGTGCAGCTGAGACCCTTTTCATAAGCATTCTGTTGGGGGCTCTTGTGAAATCTGGTACCAGAAGTGCACTCAGTCTTGTCAATCCGAACCTTCACTAATGACTCCCATAGCTTTTCTATCACAGGGAGAAGGGTAATGTCCCTATAGTTATTAAGATCAAGCCTAGATTTCGGACCACCTTTGTGTAATTTCGCTATTAAACCCTGTGAAAAAGCAAGTGGTAGAGTCATTGTGAATGTTATCAGGTTGAAAAGCATAGCTAGAATGCTTACAATGGACTCACCTCCGTGAATGAGATGTTCATTTGAAATGCCGTCGTGGCTAGAAGCTTTTCGTTTTTTAAGCTTCCTTATACCATCACTAACCTCATGATCCGTGAAAGGGAGGTTTAGAATTGGATCATTGGCTATTGCGTGGTTGTCGCCTAAAATGGAATCGACCTCGTTTTCGACCCGGGTCTTGAACGCGTCATCGAACGTGGGAGACGATAATTTGGAAAATATTCTATGAGAGTGTTTGGCGAAAGCGTTAGTAATAAGCAGGGGGTCGCGAATCACTTGATCTCCGAGTTTAAGCTCTTCGCATGTCGCGATCGTTTTGCCTCTCTGACGTTTCATAATAGCCCACATGAGCTTCTGATCAGTCTCCGCGGCTGTGTCGATCTCATCGTAAATGGAAGAAGTCCATTCATCAATCGCGAGACGCTGGGCGTGTCTAAACTTTTTCTTGGCGTCTTTATATTCACGGTAAGACTGGTGAGACATACCACGAGGTCTGCCTGAAATGATCCAAGATATTCTGCTAACCTTCTGTTTTTTATACAACTCTTTTACGTTTCCCAACTTCCAGTAAGGTTTTAAGTAAGGACGGAATTTCTTAGAGGGTATGGTCTTTTCACCAGATAAACTCATTGCGTCTACTATTCTATTGTTAAGATCACTTGTGCTCTGTATGCGATCATGCTCAACGTCGTCCTTGATGGGGGCTAGCCTATCTGAAAGGTAAGACGTATATGTATCTTTAATGGTGTCAAGTGGAATTTTTTCCCATGCAAGAGTTGGCCTGGTCGAGGAAGCATTGGCAGCTTGTGACGAAGCTTTAAATTTAAATGTAGCTTTCACAGGGAAATGATCCGAGAAATGTGTTACGTCATGTGATAATACGCTGCAATGCTCAACCAGGTCCAGCTTTGACGAAGGAATGACAATATGGTCGATAGTACAAGGTGGTGATTTGTTTTTAGGTAAACAAGTATAGGGTGGTCCTGAGCATGATTCATTCACCATTAATGACAACATATCAAAATCATCAAGAATGTTTTGAAACAACGAACTTCTGTCATTTAATTTAGGTTTTATAAGTCTTGGCCCATTAAGATGGGCGTTGAAATCACCTAAAACAATTACAATACCCATAGATGAATAGTAAGTAATAATGTCTCTAAGATTGTCTATATAGTCAATAAATATTGGCAGTGAGTAATTGCTGGCAGGTAGATATACAGAAAATATATAAAGTCTTACATTGCTCTCAACCAATACTTCAATACCTACGATTCTGTCACTAGAAATGTTGTTAAGCCTTGTCACAGACTTCCCAAGCGAACGTTTCCACAGTAAAGATACACCCCCCTTTCCACGTCTGTGTGGATCAAATGGATCGAGCGATGCATCTGCACGAGAAAATGAGTCATAATGTCTGTTTACGCTGTTAATGAAAAACAGATTGTCATTAAACAGTTTATGTTCGGATATGCAACAAATATCAATATCATTGAAATTCAATAAATCGTCCAATGCAAGTGCACTCTGCATAATTCCGTCTACATTCCAAGCTAGTAGGTTCAAATTCATAAGAAACATGCAAAATGTGACATAAACTGAGCTCGGAAAACTAGTCCACATAATCGTTTACACGCTGACTTGACCTATGAAAAGCAGGCCGGTTGTCATACTGAATATTAGAAAGCCAGGGGCGGCATGTAACTCCAGAAGGCCAGAATTTGCAGTTTTCAAGAAGACTAGCGTCTTCGAAATGGACGTTTATTTTGGCGGTTACACCCCTAGGGTTTTTTGAACTTATAAACCTAAAATGAGTTATTCTGGCACCTTTTGACGTTACATGCTGCCTTATGGCAGATTCTGAAACTCTAGGATCTATGCCACTGATATGGTAGCGTTTTGTTTTTTGACGCACTATACCAATGAATCCTACCACTTGTTCCTCATGGTTTTCTGAACGATTGACGTGGCTTGGAAATCGATGGCGATCTCCAAGATGTCTTTCTGACAGGTTACCTTGGCTGCTTGAGTTGGCGATGGATTGCAGTCGGGCGCCGATGTCCTTCGGCCTGTCTGAGATTGAGGAATCTTGACATGTTAGATTACTGGACGTTGACATCGATAAGGGACCCTTGGCGGTGCCGTCAGTGAGGGAAGCTTTGTGAGTATCACTGAGTTTACGACCTTGGTAATTTGATGTGCTTGCTGCCGTCGAACATGCTGGCGTCATGTTTGCTGACGTTGTGTTTGCTGACGTCGTGCTTGCTGACGTCGCCCTGGGCTTAGCAAATGTTGACGTGGAAATAGCGGACGTCTCTATTCTTGCTTGATGGACGGTACTGGAGACTCTGGAATTTGACATGCGAATGTCAGGTTCCTTTGAGGGATTCGAGACTGACACTGTCGACGAAAGCCCAACCGAGGGGCTTGGGGTGGGGACCGTGGTCGAACTGATAATGGGAATGTCTAGGAATAAACCACTTAGATTCAAGCTTTCACGAATGCCCAGGACGTCTTGCTTTACGCGCTTAATATCCTGTTTGCTGTTATTCATGTGTAGGCTATGGTGGTTCAGTTCCTGCTTTAGACTGGTTGTCCTTTCGTTTAGGTCATGCGTTAGTGTTCGTGACACTTTAATATCGTTTGAAAGAGAGACAAGTGTGTCATTTTGCGAATTTTGGATTGCTTCGATTTTATCCAATCTAGTGATGATCGATGAATGATCAGAATTCAGTTTGTCAAAGAGTTCTTCAATGGTTATCATTCTTTGACATAGCTCGGTTACCTTTGCTGCGTTTGCAGCAATACGATGCGAGTGTTCAATGTTGGTAAGGGGAGTTGATACAGGTGTAGCAGATCCAGAGAATTCACCGTTTGAGCGTGTGAGCGGCCTTGACAGCGAGGGGCGCTGTGACAGTTGTGATTCACCATTCTTTGTGAATATGGACGCCACTTCTGGATGTATTCCATCCTTAACCAGAGTGTATAATGCATAGCAGTCTTGGGCTAGCTTGCTGTCACGGTCAACCTTGGGTCCCCCTTTCCTATTTATGAGTGGTGTCTGGGGACAGTTCGGGATCAAATAAGCCCTATCGACAAGAAATGTTCTGTATGCGTCTATTGATAAGTTAGCACATCTGCAATGTGCCAGCAAACGTTCAATGTAAATATCCTTAGGCAAATTCTCAAGAATTTCGTCTAGATTTTGGAACACCCCTTGTCCACAGGGAATTTGACTTAGTTCATCGTCTTCAGTTTGGACTTGACTATCAAAATATTCCTCGTTTTCATTTGATTCAACGTTGCTTGACTGGACTAAAGGTTGAATTGAAGTTTGAGTCAATGGGGTGCATGATTGATCGTTTGTAAGCAGTATGGCATTAGAGATTACCTCGCCGAAGCCCTGTGGTTCCAGCAGTGCGTTTTCCATTGTATTGCCGGGCATAGGCAGTCCAAGATGGTGTTCGATTTACATGTTGGGCGTTGGCCAAGTGCTGAACGCTGAACTTCAATCACAAATATGTCTGTTTGCGTGCATCAATTAATCGTAATTATTGTGCCAGTATCTTGTATATATGTTTATGAGTTTCCCATATAATATTAGAGATAGAATTACCTTCGTTATAGTCCTAGAATCGGAAATATTGGCGGAGCTCGAAATATGTTGCACACGGCCATTTTACATCCGGGTACTTACCGGGTGACAATCATATTGTGGATCATATGGCCCCCTTTCAAAAATATTGACTAGACTAATACCTCGTGCCACTTTACATACAGCATGTTGTTACTTAAGCCACGGATACACTCAATTCAAATACACTATGTCTCAGCATAGCTTGATTTAATCATGTTAATTTATATATGATTTTTTTATTGTATCAACTGTTGTTAATTAAGGCCAACAAAATGAATTGCTTTGATAAAATCTGTATATATCATGCGGTTGCAATTCTGTTCCTCGATTTAATGTACTGCCGAAGTCCATGCCTTATGTTTCTAAATCCCTGCCTGCAATCCAGGATGATCTTTGGTAGATCTGTGAGTAATAAAACTCCAAGGAATATAGCAGGAAATACAGCTACAGGCATACTAACAACCTGAAACACCACATATAGATACAATTTATAATATTCCGTACTTAAAGAAAATATATACCACAATGCTTAGCTATTACATATATCATATATTCAATGATACGGACATAATTGTTGTATTACATGCCTTTATTTCATGACGCCACATATCTGTGTGCGAGTAAAATAAGGAAGAAATGAAACACGACGTCATATGGTTTCAATACAAAAATTGAAAAACTCTGTCGTTATCAATAGACTAGATGCGAGTAGAAAAAAATCTTGATTTACGCCATTAAATATTCAAAATTCAGTCAAAGCGATGTTATATTTGAAATCTACATATAAAAGTACATCTAGAAATATGGTTTCGAAAATTGTTTATCAAGTTTGAAAATTTGATTATTTTTGAAAGTGTGACTTCTAGTTCGGGTTGATTATCCATAGAGCCCATGTTACAAAATCACAAAAAGTGAAATATCTTTTCTTGTATTGGTCAGATAAAATTTTCATTTACTGGACATATTTTGATTTGCATAACTATTAAATACATAAGGATTATTTGAAAATTGAACCAATGAACAGATGTAATTTAAGTTAAAGGGAACTGTCTACTATACCCGCCATGCTATCTAACCCGAACGAGCCACCTGGTGGTGAAACTGGTAACTACCTACTCGCATCTGCGTTATTTTCCTCGATCAATGTTCTTTGTGATGTGATTATAATGATTTTATGAATCTGCCCACCTCTTGTCAGATCATGAGTTATCTTTATGTGTATACATTTATAGTGAAGAACCTTCCATTGTTTTTTTTCATTTGAATGACTGACTGAATAAGCTTATTATTATACCTGAGCATGTTTCGCTTCCTCTGGAGGAATTTCTATCTTTTTAACCCGCTTGTATACAACCTTAGGAGGCTCAGTGGCAACACTATACAGCGTTGTTAACAGTTCCGTTGTAGACACTTGTGTTGTGCCGGCAGTAGTAGTGAATTGTTTTGTTGTACTGTCTAACAATGTTGATTGTAATGCAGTTGTCGATGGCCTTGGTGAAGTCGTGGTTGTAGATGGTGAGGTTGCCAATGGTGTGGTTGTAATCAAATTACAATTGGGAACTTGGGACCATTCTTCAGTTTCCATACATGTAACTTGTGGGTGACCAATTAGTTTATATCCCGGATCGCACCGGTAGTTGATTTTCAAAACAATAGTTTGTGATAGCTTCACTGTATGACCTGAATTCAAGACTAAAGGGATATCCCCACAATCTAGAGGACTACAAACACAAGGATAGGACCACATACCATTTGCTTGGCATCGAATATCTGTATCGCCATAGGCCCTGTGACCCCATGCACATGTGTAGTATGCGCTTCTCCCATAGGTTGTCTTGGTACCTCTTAGATGACTCATTGCATTTTGAACTCTAGGCAAAGGCCCGCAATCCACCAAGGAACATTCTGGGTAAGGACCCCAAGAACCATCTTCCTTGCATTCAGCTGTAGGACAACCATGTAAAATATTTCCTTTCTCACAAGTATACTTCACTATGCTTCCATATGTAATATCTGTGACCTCTCGTGTTGCTCTGGCAACCTTTCGTGGCATTCCACAATTCACAATCTCACATTTAGGGGTATCAGTAGTCCACGAGAAACCAGCTTCACATTCGATTGACTCATTCCCGACGATTAAGTAACCAGTTACACATGTAAAGGTGGCTATAATCTTATCATTCGTGTTATCAATATTAACAGCTACATCAGCGTTGTGGACTACTGGCATTTCACCACATTCATAAAGACTGCAAACTGGGGCTGGTGACCAGGTTCCGTCAGCCATACAGGTGATCGTGGGATCTCCGTACATAGTGAAGCCATCATTACAGGTGTATTCCCCCATGGAAAGATATGTCGTACTAAAAGCTGTGTCTTCCTGGTTATGGATTACACTATCAGATGTTATTAAATGTACATTTGACCGATTCTGTATATTTGTTTCATTGCTTATCATGGAATTATTTATTTTATCAAAAGTTGTTGTTGAAGTATTTCCATCATCATTATTCAGAATATTAACAGTAGACGTGATATTCCATAATTCAGTGACAGTCATGTTAGGTACGTGTGTGGTATTTTCTGTAACAATTTTGATATCCATCGTGTCAGTTGAAGTTGTATTACGCACATATACAGTCGCTCCATTTAATGGGTCAAGATGTGTATTGTTGACTGTGGACATATTGAAGAGCGTTTCATGTGTTAATCTTCCTATACCATTACTTATATTAGGCATTCCTCCGCAATTATGGATGGTACATTCTGGAGGGGATGACCAGGACCCATTGTTCATACAGGTTATGGAGCTATTGCCAGTCATAAAATACCCAATATCACATGTATAATTCACCACACTTCCATAAAGGGTGTCATTTGATGGGTTGACAAATTCACCATAGTTGACAAATGGGACGTCGAAACAATCTATTGCTACACATTCACTTATATTTGACCATTGCCCATCAGCGCTGCATTGCAATGTCGAGTCTCCACTAAGATGATATGCCTCGTCACACAATATACTAACATTTGAGCCATATGTAGTTGAGTTATCAAAGTATGTCATGATACCATTACTTATATTAAGCAAGCCACAGTCCTTAGGGTTACACACTGGGGTAGTGCTCCAATTTCCAGTCGGTAGGCAGCGAATGGTATCAACTCTATCAAGGAACTCATCACAGCTTCTGTTTGTTGGACATTCAAATGAACTATTATCAGATAGCTCCTTATCACAAATTATGTTTTTAGAACATGTAAAATCATCATCATTACAGCCATTTTCAGAACAGGCATTTCTCGAAGTGTTTGGTTCGATTATTCCCATTTCATACCCTTTTAAGCATGTGTGTGTTACCACACTATCGTAGGTGGTTGTGGTGTTTGGGTCCCATGTTGAGAAAAGGACATTTGGAGGTTCCCCACAGTCTGCAATAACACAAACAGGTATGTCACTCCAATTTCCACTAACACTACAGGAAGCTGTACTGTTTCCTACCATGTCGTATCCTATATCACATTCATAGTCTACTTTGGCATAAACTGTTGTTCTGTTGTCAGTTAACCCTGCTGTACTGTTAGAGACATATGGAGGGTCATGACAGTCTATAAACAAACAGAAGGGTGGGGTTGTCCAAGTAGAATCTTCAAGACATCTCGAAGTAAAATTACCTATCAGGATATTACCCACATCACAATCATATACCGTAGTGCTGTTGTAAAAGGTTTGGTTATATTGGACGGTGCCATTGATGATGTCACCAGGTGGTCCACATTGGACAATATTACACTCTGCTGGAGATGTCCAGTTGCCTGACTGAAGGCATGTCATCGTTGAATTACCAGACATATTGTATCCAATATCACATCTGTATTCTATTGCGGTATCAACAGTTGCATTGAAATTCTCAAGATTTATATATTCATCTAGTATTTCAGAGCCATTATAATTATTTATGTTCAAAACAAAAGCATGGTTGATTGTTGGATGTTGTACACAATACACACGTTGGCATTCACCTAGTTCTGACCAAAGACCGGTGTCCAAACATACTATGCGAGTTTCACCTTCATGTATGTACCCATGGTCACATTGAAAATCAATTGTGCTACCGTATGTCAGACCGTTAGATGCAACTACATGTCCATTTTGCCAAATGGGAATGAAGCTACAATTTTTTATTTCACACCTTGGTGCATCTGTCCATGTAGCATTTTCAAGACACGTGATGTTTTTTGCTCCAATAAGATCATATCCAGCGTGACAATCGTAATGCCACGTTTCTTCATATGTAGTACCCGAACCATCACCAGTGCCATTTGTAATTAATGGTGGATCTCCGCAATCCTTTTTGGTACATCCAATAGGATACCCATCCCACAGCCCAGATTCATTACATCTGATCATCCCTTCTGCATTACTGTCTGATGATAATTCGTATCCAGTGTCACAATTAACTGTGGCAGTAAAATTGAAAACAGTTAAGTTGTATGAAAAAAATCCTTTTTCGACTGGTTCAGGTGTTCCACAATCCTTTATGGTACATCCAATAGGATGCCCATCCCACAACCCGGATTCGTTACATCTGATCATTCCTTCTGCGTTACTCTCAGACGATAACTCATATCCAGTGTCACAATTAACTGTGGCAGTAAAATTGAAAACAGTTAAGTTGTATGAAAAAACTCCCTTTTCGACTGGTTCAGGTGTTCCGCAATCCTTTATGGTACATCCAATAGGATGCCCATCCCACAACCCGGATTCGTTACATCTGATCATTCCTTCCGCGTTACTCTCAGACGATAACTCATATCCAGTGTCACAATTAACTGTGGCAGTAAAATTGAAAACAGTTAAGTTGTATGAAAAAACTCCCTTTTCGACTGGTTCAGGTGTTCCGCAATCCTTTATGGTACATCCAATAGGATGCCCATCCCACAACCCGGATTCGTTACATCTGATCATTCCTTCCGCGTTACTCTCAGACGATAACTCATATCCAGTGTCACAATTAACTGTGGCAGTAAAATTGAAAACAGTTAAGTTGTATGAAAAAACTCCCTTTTCGACTGGTTCAGGTGTTCCGCAATCCTTTATGGTACATCCAATAGGATGCCCATCCCACAACCCGGATTCATTACATCTGATCATTCCTTCCGCGTTACTCTCAGACGATAACTCATATCCAGTGTCACAATTAACTGTGGCAGTGAAATTGAAAACAGTAAAATCGTATAAAAAATCTCCCTTTTCAACTTGTTCAGGTGTTCCGCAATCCTTTATGGTACATCCAATAGGATACCCATCCCACAGCCCAGATTCATTACATCTGATCATCCCTTCTGCATTACTCTCAGACGATAACTCATATCCAACGTCACAAGAAACCGTGGCATTGGAATTGAAAACAGTTAAATTGAATGCAACAATTCCTTTGTCAATTGATCCAGGATCGCCACAATTTTTTATGAGACATTCAGGGATGGCAGTCCAATTCCTGTCTTTCATACATTGTATCACATTTGAGCCATTCATGCTGTATCCTATGTTGCAAGAATACGTGCAGTTGTCCCGGTAGTAACCATTGGTTCCAATGCATTTCTCCTCAAGGGTCCCTCCTTGTAATTCTTGCTGGGCCATATCACAAGATACACGTGTACAGTTAGCTTCACTCCATGTTCCATTTTTCTGACAGATGATGACTGAACTGTTGGTCTCAAAACCAGTATCACACTCATATTCAATGATTGTTCCCATTGGTTGCCTGTTTACAAATGTCGTCATTGCACGCCCATGCTCAATACTTCCAGCCTCTGGAGGACAACCTGAATTAACGAACAATATTATATACCAGGTAGGGTATACACTTAATTTAGCAATGACTTTATTTTAAAACCTTTCAATTTGTAGGCCTACTAGTATCTGGTCACGATAAGAGTAAGTCTTTTTTCGATTTTATGATTTAAGACATTTCTGCATCTTCAATTAATAACTTTGATAGTTGATAAGTATAATCAGTATAAAATGGTATGATCTCTTCTAATGACTTACTAACTATATTCCAACTGATGGGGTCATGCGGTCATGCAACAATAAAGAACTCTAAAATGATCCGTTATATATCTCTCATAAATAAATAAACATACTTTAAACCTAACCTAAGTCCTTTCTATATATGGCAATATTGCAGACATCGACAGATTCTCCTAATATGGCCGGCATGAGTTCCAATTCTACAGCCTTGTGCTGCGTCGAGTTTGACCCACATTTGAATATATAGAACATATTACCATCTATCGGTGAATCGAGGACACTGATGCATTCTGTTTTTTCTGTCGCAGATATCGACTCTCTTGTGTAAATATTGTATTTTAGACAGGCTGGTGTATCATATGCTAAAATATTGAAATCGTTAATTAACATAACATGGATTCATACAAAAATGTTTCATGAATGCCCACTCTCATACTGATGTGACCATACCAAGTTGCATATAATATTGATCACTAATACTGTAATAAGGATCTACCATATGGTTATTCATTAATGCCCACTCTCATACTGATGTGACCGTACCATGTAACATAAATTATCGATTACTAATACTATAAAATAAGGCTATACCATATTATATGGTTATCCATAAATGCCCACTCTCATACTGATGTGGCTGTACCATGTTACATATAATATTGATTACTAATACTATAATAAGGCTATACCATATAGAAATATATAAACGCCCACTCTCATTCTGATAAGATAATTTTAGGAATTATTTTAATCTCCATAGGATGTGACTGACATATTTATTTTTTTAAATGAAATTCTTGAATCAAATGCATATAATCCGAATCACGTTTTCTGTTCGTCAATCAAATTCAAAAAATAAACAATGATATAAACAAAGTGCAAGATGAAAATTACATTAATATTTTACATAATTGGTCAATCCCTATACTGAACACGTATGCTATTTTGAATATCATGGATATTGATATCAGCTCTCTTTCGCTACGCTTGCTCGTGCAGATATCATATCCATTCGTGGATAAAAATGATATCAGTCATAAATCATAGGATATCATAATATGACTATATAATAATGCTATACCATATGGGAATCCATAAATGCCAATTCTCATACTGATGTGACTCAGCCATGTAACAGGATTAAAGCGGACATATCTAGCAATAACACCATCTGGTAACAGAGTGTGGTATACTAGAGTGTCTGTATCGGTATTTCCATTGAATATCTGAAATTAAAAGAATACAAAATGCATTGCATTTCAGAATGTCAACTTATTTAAATATGGATGGACAAATGCAAGTAACAGCAGGTACTTTTTTTTATTAAAATGAATTATACTTGTAGGTTAATTCGTCAGCGGTCATTTGGATTTGCTAATGCTAGTGCCACCTTTACTAAAATCCGATCGATTATCGGTCTCATAATCATTGGTGATCTGCACGATTGAGACTCGTCATTTTAAAGTTTAAATAACGTTAAAACCGCTAGTTCACTAACTGTGGTCACTATTACAGTAATAACCAGTGATTGCAGTGTATATGACGTTTTATACATGATCGATTAAAATAAAGCGGCTCGCTCGTTGAAATAGCGAACAGAGCGCTAGTCACTGTTAGTTGCTGCTTAAATATATAAGCACTTGTGCCAAAGAGAAAGAACCAAACGTTGTAATGGAACTTAGCAAGAAAAAGCAAACTCTTAGTGCATACCCGTCAAGAAAAACAAACCCCATATAGCCCAAAACCATGATCTAACGTGAAAAGAAACAATGTCTAATACCCCCTTTCCCCCATCATTCAAAAACCAATATCTTGAATCCAAGGCCAGAAGACCAAGGGACATTTCATTCATACTAAAGTCATTACAATACATGTTGAAGAAAAAATTAGAAATTGATATCTCAAAGATAGATGAATCAGATCCAGTGAGCAGACTAACAAAAATTGTTTCAATTTTAGAACATTTCTGGCTTATGTCATTCCTTTTTATGTCTATCCAAAACCTCCTAAGTGCACACTTTATTTCAGGAAAACTAAAATTTTTTACAATAATGTATTATTTCTTTATAACTTTATGAACATTCTCACCCATTTTGCACTTTGAATCCATTATAACTTCACCAATTTATAACATATCGCGAATCTTTTAGGAGATATTGTATTTGAGATTTAAATAGACATATTGTAGGTCAGCGTGTATGTGTGACGCTGCTATTAAGATGGACATTTAAGTTGGCCTTTTTGGTCATTACTAGGCCTTTTAAGGCCTTATTTTTTAATTTCAGGCCAAATTTTGAAGAAAATGGGCCTCAAAATTTCAAAATTTGGGCCCACTTTTGGATTTTAGGGGCCCAAAATTTTTTTCCACGCAAGCGCGGACGTTTTTTTCTCTGACCTGAAATTTGCCCCCCCCCCCCTTGTTGGTTCCTAGATCCGCCCCTGAGTTTATTTATGCATCATTTAAACCTCAGTAGATTTTACAAAAGGGTTTTTTCTTTTATTTTCTCTCGATTTTGGGAATCGACGACCGCCGTTCTGTCGCTGTAGATCAAATGTGACTTAAGCTTTATGCATTTATCTGTGCAATATGCATTTTGACCATATAAGCCATATGCATAATCAAGGAATGAAGTTCGACATTCTATGGATTTTGGTATAACATTGTTGCAATTCATAACGTTTGCAATATTATAAGAAACTATTCAAAGTCGCAATAAAACATAATATGTTTTGAAGTCTGTTGATTATTTTTTGGAAACTTTCTTTAATTTTACGTTCAGGCGTATAAACACACGTGTACCTTGTCGATGTTATTCTCAGTGTATACTGCAAAAGGTTCCTCGTCAGTTGATTTATACATCAACTTATACGATGTGACCCATTGGGGATAAGCATTTCGTCCTTGAGTCCCAACACCACTAACAAATACAGCTCTGCCAAGATCTACCTCAATGTATTGGTCTTCATCCCTTGCGCCTGCGCACCATGACCTACATCCGCTATATCATTCCCAACAAATCATTCATATAAACCATTTATGCACTGTCAACAATTTTTCATTTCTACATATCATAAAAATATTCCTCAGTTTCAAATGATTATTGTCTCAGATTTTTTATCTTGCCAATTTTTGAGAAATAAGCATTTTGTATAGAGTCAGCGATTTGCTTCAAAGACTCGGATAAATATGACACGCACGTACCCAACAGAGCCAGTATAGTAAAGTCTAGCTCTGGTTCCAAGAGTTGCACTAGGACTGTGAGTAGATGATGCACTGATTTGGTCATCTGGCACATTCATAGCTTCAATGAGTTCCATGTCTAGTTTGAATTTGTGGCCTGAAATATGAGTAATGCCTAGTTCACGTAAGCACCGATTCAGCGGCCGGCGCCCGTATGATTGAGTATGTTGTTCAAAAATGAATGCAATTCTGAACAAAATACCCTCTCTCTACGTGAATGAAGATAGGGAATAACACACCAATGTCATTACCCTAGGATCTACCGAATATACACTACCCGTCACATGAGTACTGACGTTGGTTAGGGGAAGCTTAGCTACTAGACCTTGTCTGCCAGGCCCCCCGACCGAGACCTCTCACCATAAACACAGATTGCATGACATGTGCGTGCTTAATACAGGTGATGTCTCAAGACATTGTCTAAGTCACCACTCCCAAAAATATCGTATGGGCGCCGGTCGATGAATCGGAGCTTATGTGAGCTAGGCATTCGTCGAGATGACATAGTAGTGATCATTAGATTTTCGACTGTCACCTAGTCATATAAATCTGACCCTCGTATGATGTTATTTGTTGTTATTTTTTCTGATTTGGATATTTATTTTTTCTTATTTTCTTGCATACGAGCGTCATACACACTTGCCTCATCTATATTGCGGGAAATGCTTTCCTGGCCTGTCTACCCAACCAAATTCACACAAATGATAAATAAATTTCTTTGTTTCAACTATAAAGTATTTAATCTTACCTTAGGCACGTAAAACGCTTGGTAATTGAAGAAATATAAACATGCCGCTTGAATTTTAAAATTTTTTCATTTTGCCATACCAAGGTCACTTCCGGGTTTATCTGAGTCTAGATGTAAAACTATATCAAACGAAATCATAAGTATTTGTTACACGAAGATTCGGTTGAAAGGGAAGCAGTGTCGTTTAGAAGGGAAGTTATTTAGAAATGTTTCAAATGAGAAAAGTGATAAGTATGAGAGAACGGCTTTGGAATCGATCTCTGAGTAATAAATAATTATGATTCCGTTTCGATACATGTTTTACATTTAGACTCCCGGAAACAACATTTAGCAACATGGCGGGCGATAATGAAAATATAATTCAATTGATTATAATTATCAAGCGTTTTACATGTCTAAGGTAAGATTTAACACTTTGATGTTGGAGCTAAATAATTACTCGATAATTTGTGTAACTTTGGTTAGTATGGTAACTATGGTTACCCAGACAGGCCAGGAAAGCGTTTACCGCAATTTGTTCCATATAATATCTACGACCGTGTATGCAAAGAAAATGATAAAAAATAAATATCCAAATAAGAACAAGGAATATTGAAGAACAGCATACAACGGTCGGATTTATATGACTAACTGTCACCACACCATTCAAAAAGTATTTTATAATATAAGAGCTTCTATTATCATACAAGAAATTTCACTGACATTATTTAAAAAATACTAATATTCTAAAAAATAATGTTAATTAAAGTTTTCAAAGCGAATTAAAGGTGTGGTATGAAAGCTGATCCAGATCATGAAAGACCAGGGAAAATTCATGAAGCATATTTATTTATATAAAAACAATTGGTGAAAATAAAAATAAAATAAAAAAATAAATAACAAGATTGGTTTACTCACCAAAAATATCAAATCTCATCGACATATGTTTGTTATATTCCCTTGGATGGATTCTTACAATTCTCGCATTGAATTCCGGTAGAAACTGATGGGCCACTTTTGTATTACGGTCAGTATTTCCAGTAAAAACCTATTGAGTTTATAAGAACACAATAAAATGAATATGATTGTATTTATATTTACTATAGAATAATGCTGAAGTCTTAGTATCAGATGGGACGGCAACTCTTCCGATATTCGGTAGCAATAATTAAAATTTTGGGAATAAGCTAATGTTTTACTATTTCATGAGCGTTTCAGTTTACGCTTGAACTCAAAGTGCAAAAAAAATTATATTTCGAAAATTGGTCAGATCGGGTCGTCTAAAAAGCTTGGTGTCCACAAGAGCCATAAAATACATTAGTGTTTATACATGTACAATGTACAATGTAAAAAATACTAATATTCTAAAAAATAATGTTAATTAAAGTTTTCAAAGCGAATTAAAGGTGTGGTATGAAAGCTGATCCAGATCATGAAAGACCAGGGAAAATTCATGAAGCATATTTATTTATATAAAAACAATTGGTGAATATCTAAAGCATGACTTATGCCTTGGTCACATTTTCTCCGATTTTCACTACGGCGCCCAGCCGATTGAGTGTTTTGCTCAATGTTGTATTCAATTTTGAACAAAATACTCAATCGTCCGGGCGCCGGCAGATGGATCGGAGCATATTAGTTACCCAGGCATAAGCATGAGTACATGTAATGAACTTGTACACATAAAGCGCGAGAGCGGAGGCTGAGCACATTATTGGAATGGGTTAGAACATGCACGAATGCTTTTAAACCCAATAAAGAATGATGAAGGGTTCTTTATTGTAATTTTAATATACTATTACTCTTTTATAAAAAAAATATGACATGTCTTTTCACTTACCCTAGTTGTACCGTCCATTAATGTATGGTTAATGAATTTGATAGCATCTAAGCTGTGCGAAACAGTATAGCTAGTGACCCATTGTGAATAATCTGAACGTCCCTGCGTTACAACGCCACTGACATGAACAACAGTCTCGAAATCAACTTGAATCCATTGGTTTTGATCGTTGACAGCAGCAGCCCAGCATCCATCATGTTCGATGGTTCTGTTTGGACAATAAACATTGTAAAATGCCCATTAATAAATGGTATAAAAATATAATGTCAATAAACGGTATTAAACAAATACTGGATGACCATGAGGTGGATATGCCAGAATACCTATCCGAATCATATGATTACCATTACTAGTATTTTTTCGAGGATAGGTATTCTGGCATACGGGATGGTTGGAGATCTCGTTGCTTCAATACTGGATAGAACGAGATCGTGCTGCCACGTATGGCAATAGACTCTGCAGCTCTTAACCAATCAGATTTAAGTATTTTAATGAGGTGCGTAATAATAATTATTACATTCATTTTATTGGGTATCCATATAGCCCCGACTCCCGTTACCATAACAACAATATATTCGCGTATCGAACTCCACCCAATCTTGTTTTGAGAATTACTATAACAACCATACATAATATGCAATTTTAGGAAACAAACTTTGGACGTAATGTGCCGGAGGAAGACCGGTTGGCAGCAAGCAAACTTTAATTGGGGGAGGAGGGGGGGGGGGTGCTAGTCTTTTTACGTACTACCAAAGGTACTATCCAATTCCGTTCCATTATCTGCATTCAGCTTTTATGTTCCTCATTTAAACGTAATAACAGTAATATAGCTCGCCTACCTTATTGTATCTAATCTTGAAAAGTTTGCATCGACTCGATGACTCCACGAGGACGATGCAGTTAACTGACGGTCATCAACAGCATGGATTAAATTGCTCGCTTTACCTTTAACAAGGTGAGAACATTAAGATGTCGTTATAGAAACAAACTTACAAAGGGATAGAAAAATCCAATTAAATGACATTTGTAAAATACGATAACTTATGTCACAACTTCTTGTGTTAATTTGATTAGTCCTTAAAAATATCTGCAAAGGGTACTATTCGATTATTTTCCCAATTTCATTAATATTGAATCCACTAATACGCGTTCAAATCAATTAAAATATTAACTCATTCTGAACTTTTATATCGGTTGTCCCAAATGAGTGAAACCGCTTTTTGACAAGTTTTTAAATATTAAAAAAACATAGCTAGTGTTATTCTCATAATCACCGTGTTTTCCAAAGTTGACAATGATGTTTCCGATGTCTGCTGGTTGTTTAAGCTCAACCTTTAGGCTTTGTTTTGTATGCGATGGGGCCAGTGTTATACAAGAAGTGAATGTGTCAGCATCTGTGAACTCATTTTCTTCCTCGACCTCTAACTTTGCGGATTCTAAAACATGAAATGATGTACGCATCCCAATCATTTTCAAACATTTCTTCAATTGATCATCCTAATTGAAATCCAGCATTGCGTCAAATCCGATGATATTTCAATTTAGATCGTATGATCGTATCACTAATGTATAAAAGTGTTCAATAATTCCATCACAAAATATATCTTAAAAACGTGATCAGTGAAGAGTGACAAAATTAATCAATAAAAAAGGAACAATGGACAACTCTTAATTTTGTTAAAGCTTTTATCTCTGTAGTTTCCATTCCAATAGGTAAAAAAATAATGTAGAAATATTGCCAGTATATAGTTTGCAAATCATATATTTTCACTTTAAATTTTCTTCTTAACAAAACCAGATCCACTTTACTTCAACGCCACATCAATGTTTGTATCATTTTCTTTATCAAAATATATTGAAGAAATGTGTCGATTTCCCTGAATTTGTAAACGTGGACCAGGTGCACATGGTTCTATTTCCACTATTTTCTTGTTTTTCTAATTTACTTTACATTTATAATTGACTGTGCTGAGATCATCAGATGAAATAGATGTTTTTCTCACGTATCTTGTTAATGATATGAAAATTGCGACAACGATCTAGATTCTAAGATATGGATTCTATATGATTATCGGTATTTGATTTATTCTGGCCATCTGGCCTGGAATTTTATTTGGCACTTGCTACAGGTCACCCAGTCAGAATGCAACAGAAACAAGAAATTATTTTTCGTTATTGGAAACTCAGCTTGATCAAATAGTAACATCTCAGCCGGCCTTTGACCATGTCATACTGATGGGTGACCTGAATGCAAAACATTCAATCTGGTATGATAATGATGACATAAACTTAGCAGGAACTAAACTCTTAGAAACCATAGATAACCAAGACTTTGTACAACTTGTTAGTGAACCAACTAGAATAACTGATCACTCCAAATCCTGCATTGATCATATTTTGACCGATTCTCCAGATATTTTTGACAACTGGGATGTCACTGATCCCATTGAAAAAACCGACCACAGCACAATTGTAGCTCAAATTAAAGTTGGTGTGACTAAGTCCAAGCCTATTAAAAAAACCATTTGGAAATACCATGAAGCTAATCTTGAAACTTTGAATGATGCAATTAGAAATACCGAATGGACAGATATTATCGATAGAAACATAGACTTGGACTTAGCTACCTCTAACTTTATTGAAAAACTCTCGGACATATACAAATCCAAAATTCCAAATAAAATCATCACTGTAAGGTCAAATGACCAGCCATGGTTCAATGATAATCTTAAACGTGAAATATCAAAAAAGAAAGTTTTATATAAGAAATTTTCAAAAGCTCCTAATCAAGTTAACAAATTCAATTATAATCAACAAGCTTCTAAAGTTTCCCAACTAATTGAACAAGCCAAAGAGGCACATGAACTCAAAACTATCTCATCAATTGACCAACTCAATAAATCTGATAAAAACTATTGGAGGTTAATTAAATCATTCCTTGGTAACAATTTACATAAAAATGATATTTCTAGTATCTATGATGAGGTCTCTGGACACGACTTATCTAACAACCTTGATATAGCTAACCGATTTATGAGATTCTTTGCCTCAAAAAATCATACTGATGCAACTTTTGATCAATTGCCCCATTTCCCAATTAGGACTAATTCTCTACTCATTTCCGCCTCGACCGATCAATTTGAGGTAATGAAAATAATTTTGTCCTTAGACACCTCAAAGGCATGTGGCCCAGATAACATCACAAACAAAATGTTGAATTTGACAGCCCATACTATTTCAAAACCTTTAGCCAACTTATTCAACAAACTTTTATCAAAGTGTACCTACCCGGATATCTGGAAAATTGGAAATGTTTGCCCAATTTTTAAGAAGAATGACAAATCAAACATCAACAATTATAGACCTATCACTCTTTTAAGCTGTATCTCTAAAGTATTTGAAAAAGTTTTAGCTGATCGAATCAGGAAGCATTTAATTGACAATAATCTTCTTTTCAAACATCAGTCCGGATTCTTACCAGGTCATAGTACTATTCATCAACTTTTATCTATTGAACATTTTCTTCAGAGCACATTTGAACAAGGAAAAGCTTCCAAAACAATTTTTCTAGATATAGCGGCTGCATTTGACAGAGTACCACATAAGCTAATACTTCATAAACTTTCAGCATATGGCTTCCAAGGGCAAATTCAAAAAATTATCAAATCTTACCTTACTAACAGAAAAATTGCTGTACAGATATCTGGGGAACTTTCAAATTATTCTGAAAATGACTTTATCAATTGTGGTGTCCCCCAGGGCTCAATACTTGGGCCAATATTATTTCTCCTATACATTAATGACCTTCCAGACAATCTGGAGGGGCATTGCTATATTTATGCGGATGACACTTCTCTACATCATCCTTTTGACCCTAAGCATCCACAAGAAGTAGATGCAATAGCCAGATCTAACCTAATTAAAATTGAAAAATGGTCTGACACCTGGAAATTGGAGTTTAAACCTGAAAAGAGTTCTGAAATGATATTCCACTCATCCAGATCTAAAGTCGATAATGTTTCTGTTTCAAAGTTAAACAATGTTGAAATTACCAGAGATCACGAGCACAAACATCTGGGATTTACTTTTGACCCAAGCTTATCATATGACAAGCATATTGGAGAAATCATATCAAAAATACGAAAAATGTTGAACCCTTTAAAGAAACTTAAATATAAGTTAGGTAGTAAGCATCTAGAAACCATATTTAAGTCCTTTATTTTACCCCATTTTGACTATGGTGCTATCATGTACAGCACAGCCTCAAAGTTCCTATTACAACGACTCGACAGTCTTTATTATAAAGCTGCACTTTATTGTTCTGGGTGTATCCAAGGGAGCAGTTCAAAAAAGGTTTTAAACCTACTCAATTGGCCAACTCTTGAATCAAGACGCAGTATCCAGATTAACAACTTTATGTTCAAAATTGTAAATGGTACAAGCCCTCCCTATGTAACTGATATTTTTGACAAATTTAGAAACCATGCAAACAGAGTATTGAGATATAATGAAGCATTTAAAATGCCCATTAGATGCTCAAATAGATTCTCCACCTCAGCAATACCAGCTGCAATTTCAAATTGGATCAATCTTCCACCTGCTATTCAATCTAAGAATACTCTTTCGAATTTTAAAAAACACCAAAGAGTACATTTCCAAAAAACGCCCTCGATTTTGTCAACAAGCCAGCTTAATCTAACAAGGGTTCAAGAAATAGTTCTCAATAAAGTGAGAGCTGACCTATACTTCAAAGCCCAGTTCTACGCTCACAACTTTCAGTCTATTGACAGCCCTAATTGCACTTGTGGAAAACCACAAACTCTGAAACTTTCAATGTGACTTACTTACTATACAAAGACAGCAATTCATGGACAAACTCACTGATCTCGAACCAAACATCTTCAGTCATAATCTCTCTCAAACTGATTTCATAGCTATTTTGAAAACAGGAATTCCCAAATTAAACATAGATGCAAATTCCCAAATACTACTTCTCATTGTTAATTTTATCAAAGACAATAGCTAATTCCCTCCTTCTTATCCATCTCTAGTATCCTCAAGTCCCGTCACACCTGCCCTAGTCCAAGACCCTGCCTGCTCTGCCACTTCTACTTCCACCTGCCCCCTATTCTTATATAATGCAATTGTGGCGATTTAAGAATTTACATGTCTGTATTTACATTTTTTGTATTCTATTGAAATAAATTTAAAAAAAATAAAATTCTGGCCATAGCAATTTCGGTCCTTTAAAAGTTTAATTTCATTTTTGAAAGAATTATTACAATATAAAAAGCAGTTTTGGAACTACGTATACTATTCAACATATTTACAGGTGTTAAAAGATTTTACCTGGTGTTATACAGTGGTACTTTGCAAATATCGTAACCTTTTCCTCATGTGGACAATTATCTCGTCTCATGTTGCTGTACTCGTTGTAACTAATATTGCAAAAACTTTTATCTGTACAACCGTTATCTGCCAACAGTTCCTGACCTACGTCCCCAAGATGTGGCGCCAATGAACAGCCAGCATTGTATGCGAAGTCACACGGGTATTGCATTCCGTTCACTTCGCTTGATTGACCTACATCCATCTGATGAACCCACACACTACCACTTGGGCACGAAGTAACGAAGTGTCTGTCTTCCGTCTCACAACCCACTGCTCTTCGATCATACTGAGCTGTGACAAATAACCATTGATTCATAAAATGAGCACTTTCATCGTACATGTCTTATTTACTTTTTCAAATAGGTTGATTCCTCAGGTCTCCAAATGAGGAATTCATCTTCACATTTCAAAAAACAACTGCTTGTGTGAATATTAAGTCATTTTTTCAATGTTACGGCATTGTTTTCTGTCAACAATTCTTTATTTTCCAGTTTTTTAGCCTCGTGAATACAAATATGCATTATTATGCAAAAATTTCATTTATTTTGTACAAAAAAATGCATTAAAAATCATTAATTTCGTATTTTACAAAATCGTACTACTGTGTACTAATGTAACAACAATCATTTTTTCTCTCACAATTAAAAATTCTTGGAATTGTAAAATGAATATAGCAACTCATTGTCGTCAAATCTTTGACACCCGAACTTCTCGAAGATCGGGTTTATCCTGACGTGATTGGATTTGCAGAATCACGTGACAGCCATATAGATCAAAAAGCATCTGGTACAATGACGTCAAAATCTCGATATGATCGATCAATATTCATTGACTGACTTACCTGATTTTATTGTGTTATATATGTCGGGCCATGGTGTACCCAAGTGAAATGAATAGATGACTCCAGCCACATCGGAGTCCATGTAATAGTAATAAGTTCCTATAGTATAGGTTTCGAAAACCCATGTTGTCAGATGTGCAACCAGTATAGCATTCATATAGAGATCAAATGCAGTCTCACTTTTCGTTACAACAACATAAACGATATTTGAGTGTTGAAGTATTATGTCATCAATTGTGTAATACATTGTTATGGTCGTGTTAATTCCTATAAAGGAGGCAGCGACGGTCCCATTCTGAAATATCAAGTTAAATGCACCCGACGTAATAACTGTGTGCCCTAACATTAGGTCTAGATCCATCCAAAGCTCTAATGAAATATTCTGGTAGCGCACGTCATCAGAAAGGGAAATAATACCCTTAGTGAAGATTGAATCTCCCGGAGAGAGCATAACGCCTCTGAATGTGGCTTGGTCAACAACGATGCTTGTGGATTGGAATTCTGCATATGCCAATTCTCCAAATTGCATGTTCTCATTAAGGATCGACGCATCCATCATTCTAGGTAATTGGCCGAGAGGGAGTGCATTGTAGTTATGTAAAAGTATCGTTCCACTTTTCTTTATGAGATCACAACAACCTAAAAGAGAGCACCAACGGATTGTAAAATACCACATTCACCACTTTGTTCCAATATATTAGAATAGACAGAAATACCAAGGGTTTCCCTAAAAACGCCTTTTTAAAAAGGGTGTAACTTTTTTATCCCTCCACCCTTACCAATTTACCTTGTAAATAAAGCAAAGTTGGTAATTTTTTCCCCAGTGCAACTTAAAACCTGATAATTTTGCTTTTAAACGTTTTTAAAATCCGTTATATTGTTCTTATATTGTAGTAGTATATTTAAACTTTACTCCAAGCATTTGAAGATATTTTGAAACTTTTGCTATAGAACTTTCGAAGCTTCCCAATTTATGTAAATTATGGATACTTTTCATGAAACCTTATGTTCAAACAGACCCTAAGAACACAATGCAATTAAATTAATAAGTCCCTATAAATGCCGTATGGATAGATTTCAAATGTTCAGGCTGTTCTATAGCTACTCAGAATTGAGTATTTTAAAGTGAGATACTGAGAATATTAATGCTGATCCCAATAGTGAGAATGAACTATTACCTGAACAAACAAGTGATGCATCGCTCCATTCCCCATTTGCAAGGCATGTGATGAGATAGTTACCATTGACCATGTTGTTCCCGGGAAGGCATTCAAATATTGCTACATCTCCTTCTTGTCGCCCGTCGTATCGCAGAAGTCTCGTGTGAGGATTCAGCGGTACTCCTGAACAGTCTGGAGCTGATTGGAATAACAATCTTTTTAATGTTGTGGTGAGTGTGACTTGTTATTTGTATGCTATGAATCAGAGATTTTAAATGTTACTATGTTAACGACACCAAATGATTATATGTAACACCCAATATGGCTAATATATTTAAGGTCTCGGGGTTGCAATTTACACCAAACAGGAAGTGAAAAACATGTGGATTTTAGAATATTTTAAAGTAAGAAAACATTGTTCTCATTGTTCTTTTTCGTGATACCTAGGGCCAATACTTATTATATACTTGTCTATTATATGTCTCTGATATTATACGGTGCACTCGCCCGCGAGTAGTTCAAAAACCCGGTCTAAAAGTAAGTATCATATCAGTAATCATAGATTCCAAGTATTGTTTTAAGATATAGAGTGTGTGATTAACTTACGCTCTACATAAACTTCCACTTGACAAAGTCCCAGTTGGGAGAACTCAGGTATATTTTTCTGAATCATAACATATCTCCCCCTTAACTCAGTATAGCACCTGATTTCGTGTGGACTTGACATATTATAGCTCTGCTGGTAACATATATCGTATTGATTTTGGTCGTCAATGTTTATATTGTCCTGTCCAATATAGATGCCGAAGTTGTTTAGATCTACAATAGAAAACCACAAAGGCATCCTTTCAAAACAACCAGACCCTGATGTGTACTTATAGTATAAAGAGGGGTTTTAACTAATGAAATATTAAGAAGTTTCTTTATTAAATAGTTTCTCTTTTCCGATTTCTAAGATACGATGAAATGAAATATTTTTAAAATCATTAAATATGATACTATAAGCTATTCAATGGTTCGAGTGAAATACAGAAAATATTCTTCCCTAGAAGGTCTGTATTTCACGTTGCGCTAGCAGAGTGAAATACAGACGTTCAGATATTTCTAGCAAAATGTAAAGATTAGCACGCGTTGGTGTAAACTTATCGCCATTGATTTTTTTCATCATCGTCATATCCTGTATGGAAATCTTTGGCGTTGGGATACTGAGGCCTCATTATCCGGTCGACGCACCGCAAATCGCAATCGCAACGTAAATATTTAGCGAATCGTACGCAAAACGATATTATGAGGTCATCTCAAAGGCACTCTAGCGCAAATTCATTGCCGTTTTGCGTCTTGAGCGCAAATCGCAGTTTTCTTATTACACGGTAGACGCATCGCTATTTTCATTTCGCATCGCAAATACACTGCTAACCGCACGCAAATTGGTATTATGCAGTCATTGCACAGTTGCGTCCACGTAAATCAGTTGATTTTTATGTCGCTAACTCCACTTTATTTGCGGTATCCCTGACCCTGCCGCAATATAAATCGCAAACATATCATCAAGAATCTTGATAGTTTTCCTATTTAAATTAACATTATCGTTGTAGAAATCTAGGAAGTGCCCTTTGAGACATCCAACTAAAAATAGGTTGAAAAACATTAGAGACACAAATAACCAAAACTTATCAAAACCAAGTCTGAAAGTGCACGATTATTTATTTATTTATTTATTATTTATTTGACAGTCACTTTTATAACAGTGGCACTCAAAGGTGCGTCAATATTACATATATGTAGTATACAAACAATACATTTTTTACTAAAATCCGAGGAGGAATATGAAACATAAGCTTTTAGTAAAATCATTAAAATAGGCTAAAATCACGCTGTGTTATGTTTCACATACACCTTTTGCAGAAATCTTTTTGTACAAACATCAAAATTCCAGCAATTGTCGTGCCCCCAAATGTTAAACACATCATCCCCAAGAATCCACTTTAATTTCATTTGTGGGGGGAAATTTAGGTACTGAGACACAACAGGAGCATCACATTTACTACTTAAATCATGTATAAATTCAATTCTTTGTTTCTGGAAATGAGGACAGAAGAGGAAACGATGGATGGGATCATCTATTACATTTAAGTTACATAATTTACAAAAACCGTTACTTATTTTCCATCTTTTTCTGTCTTCCTCAAGGTTAAAGCAGCCTGTTCTGGCCAGAAACTTAAGTCGAGAGGTGTAAAAGTCTGTATGGTTCATGAGGTACTTCTCTTTATTTGTATTAAATTTCAAATTTTTATAGAGGTTCAAAGACTTTTTATCATTGATTGCTTCAATAAATTCAGATTTTCTTTGATCATTTGAGATTTTGAGAAATGAGTCGTACCAGTCTGCATTGTCGGATGAAATGCATCCGTCTAGACCATGGGCAGTTAATATCTTTGACACGGAATCAATAGATGGCCATACTGAGCTTTTCTTTGCTTTAAAGTTAGAGAACATATCACTGTAAATATCACCTAAGATCTTACAACTTTTAGCTCTATTTTTCAAATGAATAAAATAATCTATTTTACGTTTATCTATAACATTCATAATTGGTCTCCAACCTAGGTCACCAAGTAGAGCGTCCCTAGCTGGTGTACTTTTTATATTAAATATTGCTCTTCCTACATTATACTGATATGAGTTCATAGCATTCATTCTTGTATTATTGTCAAATGAAATAACTCCACATGCATGGAGAACTGCTGGTATGAAAACATTATTATGTAAAACATCCCCAAATTTGAATCTTTCTAGATTTGAGTGTTTATTAAGGGTGCTACAGATATAGAATCTGGTCTTTCGAGCTTTCTCTTTAATAAGTGTATTAAAGTGGTCTGAGTCTTTTAGAGTATTATTTAAAATAACACCTAGATACTTATATGTTTTGGTTTCTTTTAATGATAGTTGTCCAAGTTTCCATTGATTATTTGTATTAATTTTTCTACCAATTGGCATAATTTGAGATTTCTTAGGGTCAAATTTGAATCCCCAATATTTGGCAAATGAGTTAGAAACTTTCAGCATTTCAGTGAGTTGGTCTTCAGATTCAGATATCAGAACTACATCATCAGCATATAAGAGTGCAGGGACTTTGTAGTTTTTAAATGGTATTCCTAGATTATGTTCTTTAAGTCTTTCTGTCAAATCATTTATAATTAAGAGAAATAGTGTTGGGGATAGAGCACAGCCTTGTCTTATTCCAAACTCTGAATCAAACATGTCACTTTCGAAGTTACCAAAAATAACTTTATTCCTTATTCCCTCATAAAGTTTTCTCAAAATGCGCCATGGCTTACCCTTAATACCTTTTTCCCACAATTTCTTGTGGGAGGTCCCTACTTACTACATCAAAGGCTTTTGAAATATCAAGAAATGCTAGAAAAGTTTTCAATTTAATGTCTTTCCTTAATGCGCAAAGTCCCTTCAAAGTAAATATACTATCTTCAAGGCGTTTACCTTTCATGAATGCTCCCTGGAAGTCATCAAAAATTCCTTGTTTCACACAAAAGTCCATTAGTGAGTCTTCCATGAGAGCAGCATAAAGTTTATACATATTTGAGGTTACAGTTATGCCCCTGTAGTTGTCTAAGATTTTCATTGAGTTTTTCTTGTGGGTGGATAGGTTTGAGGAGGCCATCTTTCCAATCAGAAGGAAAGTCTTCTCTGATCATAAAAAATTGAAACATTCTAAAGATAGATTTTGAGACTGCTGGTCCTCCATATTTGAGGAATTCATTTGGAATTCGGTCTATGCCACACGATTTGTTATTTTTAAGTAATTTAATCTTCTGTTGGATTTCTTCAGCTGTAAAGGTTATATATGAGAAGGATTCTGGTGGGAAAGATGTTTCATTTTCAAAATTTAGCATATCTTGTTCCAAATTGTTTTTTTTATTTTCTGGGTTTTGATTACTTTGACCTACATTCTTCCAATAGTTTTTCAGGGTAATTGATATTTGCTTAGGGTCGGTTATGATCAGATCAGGGTTCTCTGGGTCAATCAATTCTAAAGGGTATTTACTTCTAGCATTAAACATAGTTAAGGTATTCCAAAATGATCTAGAGCTAGATGATTTGGCAAAACAATTTTTCACCATGATATTTATATGATTTTGTGTATGACGCTCCTTTATGTACTCAGATACCTTTCCTTTCCTTTCAAGATATATTTGCCATACTTCCTTTAACATATCAGAATTCACATCAGGGATTTTGGAAAGATATCTATGAAATTTACATGCCTCCTTTCGACTTTTTATCAGATCCTTCAATGTGTCATCCCAAAATGACCTACATTTTGAATCAGTAATTGACTCCCCAATCGTGTTTTTACCAATACTAGTGATTTTACCTTTCCAGTCATTCCACGCTGCATCAGCATTTTCAAAGCTTTCAGGTTCCCAATCTTTCAAATATTCATGTGCACTTAACTTAAAAGGTACCCAATCTGTATTCTCAGATATTTTCCACTTTGAATGTTTTAATGCAAGTGCAACATTAACTGGTTTCATAACCTTGGTATGATTAAGGTGCAGTTCAATATATATCATCGAATGATCGCTTCCAATTGACATTTTATGACATTCATCAATAAGCATAGTATGTACTGAGTTCAAACACATAGCATTAACCAGAACATAGTCAATTGTGGAATGGAGATCATTTCTTTGCCACGTTATCTCCCCAGATTTGGCAATACCAAGTCGTTGAACATTATTGAACAAAACTTTGAATTTGGATTTAGCTTTATGTTTTCTGCTCCTACGTTGTCTGTGATTTTTCACATTTGGAGTGGATTTTTGGGGAGTGTCATCAGTATTCATTTCATTTGGGGGTAAGGCGTGCACTTCACCAAGAACCTAGAATCTGTTACTACAGGGAAAATTGGCATTATTAGGGCACTTATGAGTTTTATGGCCTAACATGGAGCAGGAGTAACAACGCACGGGGCCTGGATGCCAGCAGGTACTAGCTAAATGTGATGCCTCGCCACATTTGAAGCAGGCTGGTCTAGAGTTATTGGGTGTTTTTCTGTTACCCTGTCTCAGTGAAAGGTTATTTCCTGCAATATGTACTCTGGGTGGAGGGGAAATTGAGGGTTGGGGACGTGTTCCGGGGTCCTTATGGGCATGGGAATTCTGTTGACTGTTTCTGTGGAAATGGTTATTCCATGGCTTAGTAACACTTTTCACTTTTTTAGTAAGACCCATATTATAAACCAGGCGGTTGGTCCCTGAAGGTGCTAAATGCAGTCCATCACGGTTCAGAAACCCTTCATTCACTGTACCATCTTGGAGAATAAATGAAGAGTCATTGTTGACAAAGTTAGTATTTTCCATGTTCTCACACAGAACTTGGAGCTCAGCATTCACGGCTTGTGCAGTTGTGTGTGCATTGGCATTGTCTGTACGAGGACAAATGCTACTAACAGAGATTGATTTGGCGATTGCATGCCCACCTGCTAGCAATAGTTTATAGCTGTCCACGATAGTTTCTGCATTGTCACTTGCGGCACAATCGTTACTTCCAATTTGGAAAATAATGTTATCATAAGTCGAGTCTGCTTTGGCTATTTTATCACAAACATCTGAAATTTTACCCCCACGTATACATTCTGTATGGACATTCTCGGTATCAAGTTTAGAAGAGTCAACATCACGGATGATCGATGATCCAATAAGGAGAGTTTTGGAGGGAGAGGCTGGATTGGGGGTCACTCTGGTTTCACTGGATTTATTGTTGAGTTGCTTTCTAAGGGAGCTACATTCAGCATTGAGACTTTGGCATTCAGCAGTTTTGGCTGCAAGCTGACTGACCAAATCACAGTTAGTCTTCTGCACTGCAGCTAGAGAGGCATTGGTTACATCAAGGGATGTGCGGAGTGTCCTGAGAAGTGAGAGTACTTCAGTTTCAAATGTATCAGTTGATTTTCTCTGTTTAGAAGTAGCTGCACTAGATTTGGATGGGAGGGGTTGAGATTGGGCAATGCGAGGGCGTCCTCTTTTGGGTTTCGATTGTGTTGTATGGGGGGTTTTGGGTGTCTTTAGTCGTCTTGCGGCGGGCGCTTTAGCACGGGTAGATCGGCGTAATGCTGATGAGGGAGGGGTAGCCCCTTGTTGACATTGCAGACTAATACCATCTTCACTGGTTAGGTTGTGGGTTGAGGTTGACAGGTCCCCAAGTTGATCAGCTGATAGGGTATTATCCTCAATCTCACTATCCTGAGAGTCTGGTGATATTAGTTGGCTGACAGTGTAAAAAGCCTCATTAGTAGCCATGGTTAAATGTTTAAGTGGCTAACAGCCAATAAGTCATTTACAGTTCAAGAGTCTAAGGCCAGCCAATTATTTTTACCTTAAAATGTTATTAGGTTCAATACCTAGTTTCTAACCTTTCTTTGTTTCAAAGATGAAATGTTATAACTTTTGCAAAAAAAGTTCCTTCAAACTGCACTTTCGAGAAATATCCTAAAGATAAACTGATTATACCACAGTGATCCTGATATATTCATACACCTGTCTGTGTCCTTTAATTTTATGTAACTCTTAAAGTCCACTGATATTTCTAATATTTGCAGGAGCAAAACTTTTATGACTGCATTGGTTCACTCTCAGCAAATTTATGCTACCTTGGTTTTGTGAAATCTATAATAAATATCGAAATTCCATTTTGCAAATATCGTCTGCTAAAATTAAAACTATTAGGGTTCGATCAAGCTGGAAAATGTGGCGCATATTATTCCAGGATGTTCACAATAGAAGAGGTTTACGCTTGTTCAGAGACAGGAGTCGGCCGTTAGAGATGACTGACGATGAGATATTAAACAGATATCGCATGCCGAGGCCACTCATTCTTGAGTTGATTAATATATTAGATGGGGATCTAGCGTCAAGAACAAGGAATCCTCAGGCAATTCCATGTCAGCTAAAAGTATTCATTTCATTACGATTTTATGCTACAGGTTGTATGCAAATGATAAATGGAGATATATTCGGGGTATCCCAACCTACTGTTTCGAACATTGTTGCTGAGGTATCGGCGGTTTTCTCTAGGTAGGCTATATCAGTCGGACTAATTACAAAGACACCGTGTCTTGTTTTCAAGATGGGCTGCCTTCCAGTGACCAAATCCAGAAATCTCCGGTCACTTTCTTTATCAGGAGAGCTGTCAACACATCTGATAAGAAGTGTTCTTAGCAGCTCTAGTGAAACTTGATGCTATGTTGGTCTAATACAAGATGCAGCCTACTTGTAAATAAAATACGTTATCCATGTACGTAATATATGGTTCAACAAAAAACAGCAACTAAAAAACAACAACTAAATATGAGAAACTTATGTGGTATATGCCATATTTATGTGTCTGATCATATAATCTTCAAATTATCCATCAATTTCTTAAGAAATTGGTGAAATTAAGGAAACCAGAAAACACATTTAATGAAAGGGTGGTGTTTATAGGCTGTATGAAATGCCCCTGCATTACCGCTCACATATATGAGTTTTAAACAATAATTTAGTAGACTAAAGTGTTGATACGAAATCTCAGTAATAGTACCAGTTAGGAGATAAGGTGATGTCCGATTTAACATTACGATTGCTGGATATGAGATCTAGATTTTCGCAAGATATATATAGGTTATGTAGTGGGAGGGATTCAATATGGGTTTTATTATGATGGACAATATGATATTTACCGAGAGCCCGGAGGGTCAGAGGGAAATACCAAATTGTCCTTCACAATATGTGAAATATCAAATTGTCATGAGGAATAAACCCATATTTAATCCCGACCAGTAAATTAGCTTTTTATTCCATGATATTCATAACTGTCTTCATAAAATCATTAGTTAGATTTTTCTATGAAAAAATGGTATATTTAATCAAGAAAATATGACTTAGCTTTATGATATTTTTAAATATAAAAAAATTATTGTACATGTGTAACATAAACACATCAACATCAAAACATTCAGCAATACATAAGCATTTTTGTCTGTGTCAGAGCGATGATGATAAAACTGGAATTCGTTTTTCACATAAGAACATCATTTTAGCATGCTATATCGACCCAACTGATTGAAAGAGGAAGCTTTGTTTGGCAAAAATTTTCAATACGATTTTTTCTCAATATCAAAAATATTCCCGGTTATTCATCGGGAATTAGTAGTATCATGGGATAAATAGAGATTATCCTATATGAGGTTCAGGAGATTGAACTATAGGATGATCTGTTTATCCCATACCAATCTTGGTCATTTTGTTCACGCTGTTCAATTGGCCGGAGTTCAGAAAATGTCCAACCAACCGTAAGAATTCATTTAGAATAGCCTGATTTTCAGATATTCATCCACATTTATTTCTGAAATCCTTGTTTAACAGGGATACGGTCATTTCCTTCCTTCAAACAGATCGCGATTGTCTGCTTTTTCTCCATTAACGTTTACAGTAATTATGCGCATGTTACAAAAATGAACCAATATGCGAACGGCGATTATGACGTCAGCGGGCAGATATACTATATCTACCCGCTCAGAGCGGGGCGTATAGCTATATCTGACCGCTGATGAAAATATATAGAGGTTATTTAATGGGAGGTTTTTGATACAGGGTATATCTGAGGGAAATACAATATATCAACCCTCGGTCCCTACGGTCCCTCGGGTTGATATATTGTATTTCCCTCAGATATACCCTGTATCAAAAATCGAGCATTTAATAACTGATTTATTCTATAACATTGATAATATAGATAATATAACATAGATAACATTGATTGACACCTCCGCACTGGCGTAAACATATACATAGACATTAAAAAATCGATAAATCTATTTTGAGCTCTAAGTTTAAATTTCCCGCGTTTCCAATTTATTTGCGATTAGCATACTGTTGCGTCTGCGTTGTGTCTGCGTTTGCGTGAAGCGCGTAATACGACGCAAACCATGATTTGCGCTTGCGAATAATGTTGATTCGCAAGCGCAACGCAAATCGCAACGCTAATTTAGCGCTGACCGGATAATGAGGGCTCTGGACCGTAACGCTGACGTCATTTTCACTCTCTATCTAACGCTGAATGGAAGGTGCGTGTAAAGAGGAGGGAAAGTCGTCCCAGAGTTTAAAGATGACAGACATTATTACTTGTCTTGCTTACCACCTTCGTTCGTTCGAATTTCCATCGGCTAGTTATCAAATACTACACTTCGATGGGATGTTTTAATTGATATAGGCGTATTCCGTACACCTTTCTTTATCTTGATGTGAAATGAGAAGCTATGATATTGATTAACACGCCAGAAATGAACATAATATTATTCGAAGCGTATTTCGAAAATTTTAAAACCGCCATTGATGACGTCATTTGTTTGTCGACTTTTGACCAATCAGCGACGATGTCATCTCAATATAGATATACATTATAAGCGTATGTCATCCGATTGAACCCTGGTGTTTCTCCCCCTCTGGTGCGTGTAAATAAAGGATATATTTAAGTCACATGGACCAATCAGATTGCAGGGAATTTCATCATCATGGAATAAAGGTACATGTATTTACCTGGTCTAAAGTATTCGAAGTACTTATGACCCGTACATGCCTCTCTTATCTGCACCGATAGTGAGTGTTTGTCACTAATATAGCATTTCCTGTCTGCAGTGTTATAGTCAAATGATAGGCAATTCAGATAGTTGATACATATCACTTTGCATTGCTCAAAGTCTAATGTTGCTGGGAGGTCTTCCGTATAAACATCATGACCTATGATGCAACTATTTGCTTCTGGGTCACTCATCCATTGGGCGTCTATATAAAAAAATACGGTGAAGACGTACGCAGTTTGCAGTTTTGCACTATAAAGGATGCCTATGAAAACAACATGCGGAATAAAACGATGATATTTGGTTATTGTGGAGCAGTGGCGGATATGAGGGGGGGGGGCAGGGCCCTAAATTGTCCATGGGAGAACTAGATTTGGGCCCTACATTTTTAGGCTCCAAATTTGACTCCTGAAAAAAATTTAGGGCTCAAATCTGCTACTCCCATTGTACATTTTATGGTCCCCTATTAATTTTCAGGTCCGCCCCGGCTATGCAATGAAAAGGGATCAAAAAGAAGATTCGGGAATATTCATGACACAGAAAACAGAGTACAAGACACAAATTTCAGATACCAATAAATGAAATTCGTCTAATCATAGATAGGTATGAATTCGCACTTTTTTCTGCTTACCCTGTACGGGATGTATCACAAGCTTCGAAATATATACATCAAGGCCAAGATCAATTCTCCAATACGGTGTTTGCTCGAAGTTTGTCAGGCTAGCGATACACGTTCCATCTAAAGTAGTGAGAATAGCTCGCTCTGATGCAGCTGTGTCACCATGGTATGATAGGATCGACGACTGGGTAGTTGTCTTACCGAATGCGACATTATCTAAAATAGTGGGATCCTAATCACATGCATTGCTTGAGAAAGCCCAACTCTCCAAAAAGTGCTCTTTTTTGTTTACTCGTGTATAATATACGTGTATCTTAAAATCATCATGTCCGGTCCCCAACTTCTCCCAAAGTATTCTGTTTTGATCGATTTACTTATGTCGCAGATTTCCTACCTAATGAGGCCCCATTCCCCAAAAGCATTCTAATTTTTTTATAATTTGTGCGATTATGCTCTCTGATATACATTTAATTTATCGGTTTATGTTAGAGATAGAGATGGGATTAAATATATAAAAAGAACGATGGCACAGATGCGTGTGAAGAGCGGGGATTGACATTTTCATTACAAATAGGGCAGAGAATCCCATTTGAAAATGTATAAGACAATTAAGGGAATGCCAATTTTCAAAACATTTTTCATAATGTCTTAGCATCAAAATTTGAAAGTGACTTTTAAAAAAGCCAGGTGATTCTGGTGCTTTCTTCCAAGGCTGAATTGTAAATGTTTATGCCAACTAGCCTTAGAAACCTTGGTTTTCACTAAAAAATGTTATAATGACAACAAGTGCAACACGTACAACTGATCCTTGAATAATTAATTATTCCCAGATATGACAATACAGAGATCAACATTTAATATGTACAACATCAAAAAATGTACAATAGCCCCCGTCACTGGTGCTATATATCTCTATGCATATATATTGATGAATGAATCAAACTGAAATTGACGATTCACAGACTTATTTCACTAAATAATTCAACCCAATGTACTTTCTAGTGAACTTTATTTTGACAGTGCAACGTAGCGTTCCGTTTTAGTTTCTAACTGCATTTTTTAATTCTAATTTTTTCAACTGTTCTTATACATTCTATGACATTTCTGATAAAATAAGTTCATAGTATAGTATATTTATAAGTATTAGTTTGCATTGGCGATATTTTTGATGATAAGTTTCTTAACAATAGAGAGTTAATGCGTACATGTAAACTGATTTTAACATATTTTTATTTTTTATTTTATCTAATTTTTCATTTCAGAGAGGAAAAACCCATGATAAAGCAATTGCAAAATACAATTACAATACAGTTAAATGGAAAACGTACATTTTACAATACAATACAGTACGGGAAATATGTCTAAAATAATTAGCTACTTCGTTCATAAACAGTCTTCA